ATTTTTTATGTAAATTAATTATAAAAAACTATATTTATTATATTTTTAATCCATGATACAACTTTAGGTAAACTTTTTTTTTTTAAACATTTAAGATTGCATAGCATTATTATATTTAACGGCGTATTAATTAATATGACGGCCATTGCTCTTCACGTGAAGAGCCACAAGGCTGAAAGCCTTAACCTGTTGTTAATAAAGAATTTGATCCGAGGCTCAATAATTATGAGATAAAAAAGAAAAAGCTTATAAACACAATTATTAATTAAGAAACATGATTTCACATGCTGCGTGCGTGCGTGCGTGCATGCTACTCCTCCACTGCTGACCAGACCAAAATGATTTGGGCCCATCGCTACAGCCCAAGAGTGGAGCCTGCGGGCGGCGCGTTCCCATCTAAATTATCGATAATCATCATGATAATATGATATAATAATGAATAAATGGCCTTTGATGGAATCCATTATGTGATGATCTTCACGATCAATAATGAGAGATATTAAGCGCTTGTTAGAGATTTTTTTTTTTTTTGCTAAAATTAAAAAGTTGTTGAAGTAAAAAAATTACTTTTTAGTGTTTGACGTGTTTATGAGTAAATTTTAATTAGATTCGAGTTAATTATAACTAATTAATATTTTTTACGTTTTGAAGAAAAATAGATAGGATGATGGATTAATTAAGGGTATGTTTTGTCTAAAGAAGCAGAAAAAGGCAGGAGAGGGGGTGAATAAATTTTTTTGACTAATTAAATTATAATGTTAGCAAATGTTATATTTTAATTAGTTAAATGAATTATCTCTCTATTTTTTTTTTTCATTTTTCTCAAGTCAAACATATATATATATTTTGGTTGCACAATAAGAAGTAACTATCTCTCATCTCTTATTTCATCTTATCCGCATGGCATGCAACTCAAATTCAAGACTTCTTAATTCCAACTGAAAAAGATAAGTATTGAATTATTTAAGTTATTGACAAATATTGTGTGATTCGAACTCAGAATCTCTTATTTATGACGGAAGGAAATGACCACTAAACTATTTAAATTGTTAGTAAATCAAATATATTTTAAAAGAAAGAAAAGAGAGAATTGCCTCTCATTTTTAATATTTTGATAAAAAGAGTTAATTTTTTATATTAGAAATAAAATATCATAATCAAGTTTTAGATATGGTAACAAAGTGAATAAAAGATGAGTGAAGTTTATCAATTATCTCTCATTATACAATCTAATATAATAATCAAATAAAAACAACTCTACTTTTAAGATGTAGTATATCATAAAATATTCTAATATATGCTTAATTGATTAGAAAAAAGAGATTCAATAAAAATACTCTTTTCTTTTTTACAGATATAATAAAAATATTTGGATATCACGCCGAAAGATCATCACAGCTCAACTGACATCCAACATCTCTGCATGAATGAATAAGTTTTTGAAGAGTCATTTTTCTTATTGGATTAAATATCCCTCTAACGTGAATTTAGGAAATCATGTCAAATATGTATCTTAGTAAAACAAAATTTCTCCAATAATGGGCATTGGGTTTCTACAGGGCAGTTTTTGCATCTTGATCGGGTTCAAAATTCTAGGTGTACGTTATTAGAAGAATGAATCCAGCTAAATTTATCATGGAGTGGATGGCATCTTCATTAGAACAATGCAGTCAAAGTTTGGAAGCATAAAATCATGAAAACATTTCACTAATGGACCTCCACATGGGTCCATTTAGAAACGGCAAAAAAATGATGAGCTACCTACATATATATAAAACCAATGAAAAACTTTCTGCCTTTTTTCTGGGTCTGAACTGCATACAAACCCACTTCAACTCAAAAGAACCTTTTAGGAGCACAAGATCCCAGTATTTGGATCTAGAGAAACTGCGATATGCAGATCTTAGGACCACTAACCAGACGCCAACCTAGCATAACCAATAGAATATTGCTGGAACTATTTACGTTTTCTGATTTTAAGAAAAAAAAACCAGTGAACTTATTGTTGCAAAGGAGCCGGCAGGAGCGCAACTAAAGTTCAATATATTTCACTTTAAACGCAAAAATTAGTATCTTAGATTTTTATTTTTTATTTTTTATTTTGAACTAAAGGGTTTTTTCTTTTTTCTGTAGCAAATAGGGTGTTTCTAAAGTAAGAGGAGGAATTCTGCTGTATTCTCCTGTATTCTCCAGATACCATTGATGTGGTGTCCCACACCAATAAAAAGACATCATTTTAATATTTGTTTTCATACTTCATCAATCACTGATGGTAAAAAAGAAGAGATGACATGCTTTTATTAATATGAAATACAACAGAATTTTTACTAAAATAGGTTATATGCATTTTGAAACTAATTTATCTCTATCTAATTTAGTTAACAGTAAATTACTTATATTAAAATTAAGAAATTTATGAAGAATTGTTATTTTATTAATTTTTTTAAAGAATTAAATTTTAATAAAATAATAAAAATAAAATTTCTTATTTTTTAAGTCACGAGCTTTTTATATTAAACTATTGGAATTTTGAGGTGGAGGAGGGAATGGGATTCAAAACATAGACCTCTAGGGGGGCTGTATGTACTAACTGGGTGCACTTCACCATATGGCGAATTAAATTATTAGATTCATGAATATATATTTCAATGGAGAAAAATTACACCTTAAAACTCAAAAATTCTATCATGATCACTTGTGTGTTTAAAAGATAAACTTGATCAAAGTACTTTTTCTCTCTCAGTATATATATCATTTAAAAGTAACTTATTGGATTCATACATTTTCACAAATATATGTTTTATTTTTATCATATATTTTTATTATATAACATCGTAATTCACTTATCAAACCAATACTAATGGTGGGTAATATATTTTCACAAAATAAGAGAATAAAAAAAGAAGAAGAAGAAAAAGAAAATTACCCGTCTGATTAAAATCAAATAATTGCGGTGGTAATCATAGATGATAGAAAATGTCTTTTTGTGCACTGTTACAGTTGATCACTATCATCGACCTGGGAATGTAATAATCTCCCCATGGGTCCAAAAACAATAGATACTATTATTTTCTTTTGGTTCCTATCAAGACATTCTTTACATAATTACGAAAGATGATGAGTTGATGTTTGCTGTCAAAATTTTCAAGTGGGACTGCATTTGAGCCGAAGTCTTGGAAACTAAGGAAGCCTGCTCCCTGTCCCTGGAGCCTCTTGCATAAGCCGCAATCAATGGACCAGACACTGTTCAAATTTATTGTTTCCTAGAAAATGAAATAAAATAAAATTACATATATATATAAATATGTATGAAAACTTGTCTAACAAAATAAAATTAAAATGTTTTTAATCATTTTATTATGTACTATTATTTTGATATAGGTTAATGTTTTATATTTTGATATGTATCAAACTTCAAACAGGATTCATTAATAAAAACAATTCATTTTTATATTTTAAGGATTTATAATTATTATTAGTTTGTACTTCTGGTTCACTCAAATTAATTTTTATGCACATTAAAAATAATTTTTTTTGAAGAAATATTAAGGGTGTATCTCTTATATTAATTTGATAAATTCAAAAAAAAATTTCTTCAAAAACTAACATTAAAATTTGAATCATGGACCTACAAAATGATATTTTATTTAACAATAAATCTAAATCTTAAAATTTAAAAATTTATTATATAATTTAATAATTTATCTTATATAATTTAAATTATATATTTTTTAATTTTGATATTTGATTTTGTGATAAGATGTTGGATGGGAAGCCCAAACCCAATCCAACATATTACAATGGAAAATTTTGACTTTACACTAGCAAAGCAATTTGTAGGAATCTGCTTTTTAAGCTTTTGGCGTGGGAATGGGTTGGGGGGGAGATGGCCAGTACTCGGTGTGCCATGTGCCATGTGGCGTGTGAGTATCTTCGTATGATCGAGGCGTGGCGCCGAGTGCGATGATTACGTAAGGGGGAGTTGTAATCATTAGTGGGAATGGGCTTTAAAAAGCCCTTCAAAAATAAAAAAAAGGTGTGAACTCTTTATTGGGCTTGGTCCCACCTCTAGAATCTCTTCCCTCTACCCATATGACTGAGTGGGCCCCCACAGTCACACTCACCATTATTCGTCCCACCTCCCAACTGTTACCAGCCTCAATATTTATCATTCTGCCTCTCGTCAATTTAATGCCCTTTGGTAGTAAACTGTTGGCGGCAACATCTACAATGCCCTTTGTAGAGGTCAATGTCAACTCCGTAGGGAATTCAGCTTATTTAAGGTGTGGATAATGGACAATAAATAATAAAAATTAAATAATAAAAAATATATTTAATAGTTAATAGTTGTTGAATGTTAAATGAT